TTCAGGAAGCTTTCCTCCCTGTGGATCATGACTCATGAGAACCACCAACACGCACACACACACACACAATCATACAATGCCGCCCCCTCCTGCCCCAGAAATCGTGTCACTCCGACAGGTTCTAAGTAATTACCCTTGGGTGGCCCCATTTTCCAGGTCGAATTCCCACCTGAGAAGCTTGGTGTTTTTTTTTTTTTTATTTGGCGGGGGGTTGGGGTTGGGGGGGGGGCCTTGCCGTCCAGGTGGCCAACTCGGTGACCTGCGGCGCCGCGCTCGCGGCGCTCGCGGCGCGCGCGGCGCGCTGGCGAAGGTCCGGGGCGCTGGTGGCGGAGATGGAAGTGGACCGGCTGGCCGTGGACCTGGCGGGGGCCTTTGGATCCCGGGATGGGAGTGGCCGGTGTCTGGCCGGCAAAAATCGGGAGCTTCCCGGGGTAAAATGGGGAACGAGGACTAAAACCAGTGGTTTTCCGGTGGCGTTACATTTAAAAACAAAGAAAAAGCGGCCCTGGAAAATGGAAGGGCTACCCTAACATGGCATTTGGCGACCCGGTCTTTTCTGGACAATTTTGATCTTCCAGGTGCCCTCCACAGGTGCTACGTTGGAAGGAAGCAGTTTGCGGCTTTTCTTTCTCGGCCTAAGAAACCTGCGGGGTGGTTTTAGTTTTGACCCACAAGTAGGACTGGGTTGATCAAAAGGTTTACCTGGGACCAGGGACCCCATTGGTGTTTTGCTGCCTAAGGGAAAAGTCACCCATCACATGGCATTGAGCAACCCCCCCATGTGTTCGGCCAAGACTTGGATGTAACTCTGCGAAATGCCTTCGCGCATCGCATATTTGTATGTTCCTTTCTTTTTAAGGATGTCACAGCAGTAACTTTCAATAGCCTCAAAGCACCTCGACACATGCGTGGGGCGGCAAAGTTCGAAGACCTGGTGAACTAAAGACATTTTGTGGACATCTTGTTCAGCATGTGCTGGATGACAAATTCTTCATCGTGCATTGACTGATTCCCTTGAGCTGGCAGCCCGTGTTCAGGCCGGAAGGTTCTTAATGGAGCCAGCCCAATTCCACGTCTCTCTTAACGGCATCAGCCCTCCCCTTTGGCTGCCACTAACAAAGAAATCTGTCGGGCGCCTGGCGCCGAAGATCTTCTTCCTCGGAGGATATTGGGTGCGTCTTTTTTTAGGGGATCCGCAAAATGGGTGGCTGTTTGGTTTTCCTACGGCACAAATTGGGGGTCAAATCCTTTAGCTTCTTGCCTTAGCGCCAGGCTGATTGAAGTTCACCGAGGTGTGCCACAGCAGTGCCATCAGTGCCTTTGAGAAGTGTGCTCGGTGGCAAGAGGCGGGATGGCCACGCACACCAAAAACCTTCACGCTTTGGAATCGATGTTATCCTCCCGGATCACCCAACTGTTCCCAGCAAAATTGAAGAGGATGAAGCAAGGCATGGACACACTTCTTTCCTGGTGGCGTAGCTCATTTATTTTATGATTTCTCGAGCGAATGCGATGTTTGCTGACCCACGGCTATTTGCCACAGCGCTTCTACAAGCCCGGCTTTGCCACGCTATCGGTATCGGTTCATATCCTAGTATGGGCCCTTTCCAGACCAGTCATTAGGGCTGTGCCCTTTGATGCCCTTTGCAAACCAGACCCTGCCAGCCGCCCAAGTTTGCCGGGCTTGTCCACACGCGGGGAATCGTCCAAGCAAACCGAGCAAAGGCACGTAATGATTGAAGAAAAGCATCGACCCACCATCAAATGGGTTCGGCCTACAGAGGTCCCCCAATTTCCGAAAAGTGTTGCGCGTCAAAAAGTGGCGGCTTCTTCGGGGTCCAGAAAAACTGTACATTTTCGTTTGCTGTTGTTCAATGCCTGTTCCATGGGCTCGCGAGAGTTCACGTAGCCATGGCAAGCTGGGGCCTTACGCGCGCGCGCGCGTAGGCAGCCCGCACGCTGGCCATCGCCACGTCCCCGGATGCGATCGCAATCTGTAGCGCCATCAGCGCCTGTGAGGCTTGGATGATTTCAGGCGCTAAGAAGCGAGGGTCCCACTCGGCCGAACTTGGATACACGAGCGAGGGACAAATGTTCAGGGCATTTGAGGGTCCAAATTCGGCCGAAGTTTGGAAGGTCCCAGTTTGGAAACCGGTCATTCGGGGATATGTTCCAGTGCTCCAGGATCCAAGGTTGGTTAAGTTGCAGGCTGTGGTGATTGGTCTGCTTGCTCAGTCTCCGTTGAAGCTTCATGTATGGATATGCTTGTTGTAAGACGTGAGCGGTTGGTATGTGCCAGTGAACAAGCACCAGCAAACACTGCACAATTGGGGCGACTTTGTCAGGGGGTAGAAACGTGCGACGCTTGTGCAGTATGTAGTAGCTGATCTCAGGTATGTCGGGTTCTTCATTCTGAAGCTACGATATTTTGTGGGGAATCTCAGCCCTGGATTGCTCTGGGGACCATGGTGCCAAGAAGTACATGGAGGGATTATTCCCATGCGCGACCAAAGCAACAACATACAGCTTGGCAGAAGAAGGAGGAGGAGAAGAAGAAGAAGAAGAGGTGTAAAGCAAAGCTTTTGTGATATGATCGTATGATTGGGTAGGGAGGGTACACTGGTTGTTGATTCCCCTCGTTGGGATTCGTGACTCCGGGCGATGTCTCTGCACAAAGGACAAGGCGGCCGAGTGGCGCTGGGCCTTACAGAGGCTCGCCGCAACGTGCGAACGTGGAACCTCCCCCGCTCGGGGGTCCCTGTAAAAGGAGAATGGTCCAAAGCAGGACCCCCCGAAGCCCGAAACGTCAGGTTCCATGTGAATTTGTGGGAGGGTACATCTTGCGGAGTTTGCCGGTTAGAAATAGAATCCAACAACACATGTTTTCTAAACAGGGCCTGCGGGCTGACCCCAATGAAACATGCCTGCCTCTTTCTGTCGATAACTTTTTGACGCGGACGGATCGGCTGCCGAGTTTGCCCAGCCCGGAGGCTGAGAACGAGCGTTCCCCAGCCGTCGGAGTCTGACGTGATGGCGGTCAATGCCGCCATCAGCGCCTGCGCTGCTCGGAAGCAAAATGACTTGCTGCTGTGGGGGAACATGATTTAGGACAATTGAGTTTAGGTCCTCTGTCTCTGTCTCTCTCTCTCTCTCTCTCCCGCTATCCGTCTTTCTCTCTGTCTCTCTGTCTCTCTGTCGCTCTCTCTCTCTCTCTCTCTCTCTCTCTCTCTCTCTCTCTGTCTCTTTGTCTTTTTTTTGTTTTTCTCTTTCTCTCTCTCTCTCTCTCTCGCTGTTTGTCTTTCTCTCTCTCCCTCCGTCTTTCTCTTTGTGACACCGAGTTAGCCGATGGCTCAGTTTCCACAAAATCCTGCCAAGGGGGGTCCTTGAAGTCTGTGCAGATTGGGGACGCGCTCGGCCGGGCGTGGGTCTCGGGGTGGTTGCAATGGTACTGGTGCCTTGAAATGATCATGAGGTCTATTCCCGACTTGGATGTGCAAAGCAGCACTCATGTGAAGGCCTCTCCACTGAGAAGGCAAAGTCCCACGGGAATCTGAGTTTGGGTGCTCCGATTGCCGAGGCTTAAGGCGTGGGATGCCCTTTTGGTGAATTCGAGGGGCTTTGAACCCCTGCACACCAAGAGGGAAGCTGAAAGATCACACAACAGTACCCTTTGTTCATTTTTTCCCCTCACATCCATCCACATGGGGCCCGTGCTAGGAAAAGGCCGCCTGGGCTTTTGGCTTGGTGCTTGCTGCCTTGGCTCCGCGTCCATCTGTTGTGACCTTCGGCCCCTTGGCAGGGAGCAGTTTGAGAGTACTCGAAAGCTGAAAAGGGCCTGGAGGTCAGCCGAAAGGCTTGGCCAAGAAATGGGTGTAGCTCAAAATTAAAGAGCCGAGGCTACGCAGGTTTTGTCTGGGGCTGGCGGGTTTGCGCGACAGTAGTTCGGTTCTGGAGGGCGTTTCGCCACCAAACATGTGGTTCCTCACCTCCCCCCCCCCTCCCCGCGCCCCCGGCCCAGGGCACAACCTCTTGCAGCCACTTGCGGGCACCTTTCGCAGGGCTCCGTTTGAGCTCTAAGCAGCCGTTAAGCTGGGCTGTTCAAATCGCGGTGGTCTTCCAATGGTTGACTAGGATTGGTCGGCCCTTCATTCCGAATGGTTGCAGTTGAGTGAAAGTAGATGGCACAATGACAATTCCAAGTTATTTTGTGTTAGCCATCTCCACTTGCAGGCCAGGAAATTCTGCCACCACCACCGCGATGTAATTTGCCCAACCCCATTCTGAAAGGCGCATTATTTCACAAAAACAAACCGGAACCCCATCGTGATTCTTTCCGAAGAGGAAAAAAAGAAAAAGTTGGGATTTCCACCGTAAAGCCCGCAAAAGACCACAAAACAACCATGGAACGCCCTCGCTCCAAACCGTGCGCGCCACTGAAAACCCGCAGGAGCGTTGCTCGCCTCTGCGGCGCTCAGCTGGCGCCGCGCCTCGGCGCTGCTGGGGCGCATGGCGCTTTTGGGCCTCCGGGGCAACGCCCACACCGCCGGGGCGCTGCTGGCCTCAGGCGGTCAGAAGATGCGCCAGGGCTGGGCGCGGGCGGGCGAAAAATGGACCCGAGAAACAACTAGGTCCCCCAGTAGTGCCCTTTGACCCTTTTTTGGGGGAGGGTTCCCCTACTAAAATAGACTATTCTAACATCTCTACTGGAAGGCCTAGACAAAAGGTTTATCCACATCTTGTTGGAAGCCAGAGGACGCCAAAAGGGGATGGAAGATTTAAGCGTTCCGTGTGCAGAGGGGTTTGTATGTCGGACCAAGAACTTCGCGGAAGGAACCCAAAAAAAACGGGGCCGATTCATAAGGAGATCCGATCCTAAGAATGGTGGGTTTTTGGTTCTTTCCTGGGTAGACAGGGAATAGATGCCGACCAAGAGAAAAACCCGGGGAACATCTGGCAGAGCTCGAGCTGATCAGATCTACACCCACCTCCGATTCTTTTTGCAAACCCTGAGGTGTCGAACATTGGGCCATTAACCTCACATCTGAGTCGTGGATTTTTGCGATTCGCGTGGGGTGTGCATGTGGTGGTGTGCTTTTGTTTCTTTGGCCCGGCAACCAGGTCGGAGGAATCGAGCCACACACAGCCTGCGAGGGGTTGCCCCCCTCCTGGTTGTCTGCAACTGGCGGAGACTGGGTGGATACCTCTTGAAGTGGCATTAGTCGTTTCAATGAGCGCCTTCTTCAAGGGTCGCGTGATGAAGGTTGAGCGGCAATCTTAATACATAGTTAGGTGGGGCCATCCGCCCGAAAAATAGTGTTTATCGGGTGTTGGGTGGACTTTTCGACACCAGGCTTTGGAAAATGGCAACTTCCGACACTGAACCAGCCAGAAAACAAAACCTTCTCCCAAGCCCAGGCAGCCCGCGTGCGGTCCGGCGTGTGAGCGACGCCCAATCCGCTGAACAGGTTGCCCTTGCGGCGTGCTCTAGCACAAATCGCCTCGACGTGAGCCCATTCAGCCGCGGACTGCGGATGACTAACCGCGGCCTGGGCCCAGCGAAACTATCCAAACAGGTCTCGTACTGTGCAGGTCTGTGCTCCCTGGCTCGGCACTAGGCCTGTTCTCACGTAGCACAGCAATGGAGTACCAGGGAGGGCCGTGAAGCAGCTGTCCGGGCGCACCACTGGGCCTCGCGAAAGAAGGTTTCGACGTCCGCCACAAAGCTCTGCCAAACTTACATCCTGTTGGTGGAGCAGGGGGGCTGACACGTCATGAGCCGACCTCGTCCTTCGCCTCATCCGCGTCCTGCGCGCTCTCAGTCGGCACCACTCCATGGTATGAGCCGGCAAAGTCGACGCAGGCAAACCTGCTGTCGCAGAGCTTGAAACCCCAGAGCGTGCGTTTCGGCACCGGCAATGCAGCTCTGGCCGGACCCGCGGCTTGATCTGCCACGCACCTGATCTCAACCGCAAGGTGAAAGGCGGCGGCCTCCAGCATGCACTGCGTTCTCGTCAGAATTGAAGCATCAAGGCCCAAAGATGCCCCGCAGGCATTGCACCAGCTGCATGGTCCATTCACCTCACTGAATTCCAGGCCTGCGTTGCCGCCGAGGCATCCGTGTGGCAATAGCTCGCCAGACGGTGTATACCTCGGCATCGTAGTTGTCCGCCATTGGCTAAGCCTTTTGTGGTGGGTTTGCGAGCAAAGACTGATGTCACCGGGATCCCTGCTCCTTGCGTGGTGGCTTTAAGCAGAACTTAAGGGGAGTCCTCCTTGCTTGGTGGTTTTACACATGAACTTGTTGGCAAGTTAAGGGGAGTCCTCCTTGTTTGGTGGCTTTTTTCATCGACTTGTTGGCAAAAATTAAGGGGAGTTTTCCTTCTTTGGTGGCTTTATACATCGACTTGTTGGCAAAAATTAAGGGGAGTTTCCCTTAATTAAGGGTGAAGTCACATGATGTCTATCTAGTCTAGGGAACCCCATGGGGAGCTATCCTGAAGGCCCCTGGTGGTCGGCCGCTGAGCTGCTGCATGAGAACGAGACCCGCCTCACGGGTCCGGCGGGGAACAGCGCGCTGCTGGCCCTCCGCAAGGCGTCGGCAGGTCGACGCAAGGCGTCGACACGTCCGTAAGAAATGGATGTGGGTCAAAAGCAACGCTCCTCTAAAATAGGATCCCAAAAAATGGAACTAAAATGGGGATGGGCCAAAAAATGATGTACCCAAAATGGCTTGCCCTGGCAAATGGAAACGTGGATTAAAATCTGCGGTCCATATCCTGGTGGCTTAATTTTGATCCACACCCAAATTTACCAGTGACTCAAATTGAAGCAAACAGTAAAATATACATTCTATAACTGGGCCTAACTCCAATCATGAGAACTCGCGGTTCACGTTGCCAGCTTTTGTGAGGGGAATCCGTAAAAAAAAAAAAACACCGTTCACCCATAGCTGAGCGCAAGCATGGATTGCATACATCCGGTAGAGATGTGGTCGAGGTAGGAATCTGGCTTGCAGAAATCGAGATAGCGAACCGGGAGATAAATGGGTGCGGCTCAAAATTCAAGAGCTGGGGTTACGCAGGTTTTGGTCTCTGGTTCCACTTGCCCAGGGGCCATTTGGGTACATCTCTTTGAGCCACAGCCAAGTCTCGACCCACAGCCCAGCGCCACTTTGAGCGCCGAGATCGTAGCATCGTGCTCCAAAACGGGGCCCAAACCAAAAAGGCAACCACCGACAATCTAGATCTCACAGAATGAAGTCAGCGCAAAGCTAAAGAGTACAACAAGATTCTCGCTGGCCCGCTTCATTTGATCAATCTTCTTGCCAAAACTCTTCGCAGACTGTGTGTGCTTGCGTTCCTTTGTCGGTTTTGCGGGCACCATATTGGGGAAAGCCCAAGGGAAAGCCTCCAGTCAAGAGGAGGGCTTACGACCATCCACTTGAAAGGGCTCAGGCGTCCACTTCCATGTTGGAAAAACAACTGTCTTGATTTCACTTGGTGGATGAAAAACAAAATCGAACCAGTGCAATTGATCGGTGTTCTTTATACGTGACACCCATCGGAGAGACGAACCAAAGATGGCGTTGCTGCATTTAATGTGGATATGTCAGTGGGAGAAGTTAATACGCAAAAACATGATGCGAACAGGAAGCCATCAAGCGAGCGAGCGGGCAAGCAAGCAAGAAAGCAAGCCAGCCAAACAAGCAAGCAAGCCAGCCAGCCAGCCAGCCAGCCAGCCAGCCAGCCTGCCAGCCAGCCAAGCAAACACACCAGCACACACACACACACACAAACGCGCAAGCACACAAACACACGAACACACACATACACAGACACGTAAACACAAACAAACACGAACACAAACATACACACACACACACAAACCCACAGGCACACACACACGCACACACTCACTTGAAGAGTGAGTTTTACTCACCTGAGGAACCACCATTGACACAAATACATAAAGATGAAAGCATCGCGCTGACGAAACAACCAGGAAATAGGAAGCAACAGAAAACAAAGGCAGGTCAACCAAGGATAGTTGAGACGTCTTCTAGCGCAGTCCGCTGACCTCTTGCAAAGCACCAGGATGGTTCACACACACACACACACACATTTGTAGAGCAAAGTTTCGCTCGAACTCACTTCAGCGCAGACCATCACGTGGATGCTGTCTCAATCTCAACAAATCGAACAGCACAAACACCTCCTCACGAAAACACCCCAGAACAGGAAAACAAAAAGCGGAGACACTGACGTCGGAGCTGCGCGCAACGGCGCCTACGTCATGTCAAGAGGTGCAGCGAAGGAAGCTGTGGGCAGAAACCTGTTCATCAGGACCCGCCCCCTGGTCACAAACCTCCGGAGTGGGCCGACTCCACAAACTAACCAAAAACAACGGCGAAGAAAAACGCGAAGGGAGAAACCGCTCGTGATCCAGAACAAACCCCCCACACACACACACACACACACACACACACACACACACACACACACACACACACACACACACACACACACACACACACACACACACACACACACACACACACACACACACACACACACACACACACACACACACACACACACACACACACACACACACACACACACACACACACACACACACACACACACACACACACACACACACACACACACACACACACACACACACACACACACACACACACACACACACACACACACACACACACACACACACACACACACACACACACACACACACACACACACACACACACACACGCACGCACACGCACACACACACACACAAAGCCAGCTGCAAACAGCCGAAGCGCCCGTCACAAGACGCTAGTCTCAGTTGCCAGCAGCACTGTATCCAGGGAGACCATCGCCGCCCATGAGGCCAACAAAAGGACCAGCGCAACAACCCACAGCCCAAGCCAAGGCTGCACACCTTCGAGTGGGGAAGAACAACATGGGAAGCAACTGCAGAACCGCCCAAGGCGGCTGGAACAGACAAGCCAGAACGCATAGGCAAGAACCAGGAACTTTTAATGCTGCCGCAGTGTGTGCTGGCACACCGCCTCGGACCGCCTCCCGTGATTGGAAGCAGGGGAGCGCTGGGTGCTGTGGGAGACTCGTCAACCTCCTGCACAAGGTCCTTGCGGAGCTTCCTGAGCAACGCCGCAACTGGGGCACCGGCTTGGCTCAAGACTGCTTCGGCAAAACTTGCGCACGCACACCGGCGATTGGCATGAGAGGGACTTTCGGCGAAGGAAGCCATGGCGGCGCCCGCCTGACGAAGCTCCTCCTTTGCGCGGGCCGGCAACCCAAAGAACGAAAAGAACAAAGCGCGCTTTGGAGAAAACTTCGGTAGGACAGACCACACGCCTATCATACACTCCCCCCAATTCACAGCGCTGTGGCCTTTCCAGTTGCGGAGGTTCCGCTCATCGACTCGTTGGAGGCGGGCGGTCACACGCCAGGCCCGGCAGTGGCAGCAGGGCCTGCGACTGCTACGGCGCATGGCTGCGGACGCCACCAGCTTCGAGTTGGCAGCGCCTGGACTCGGATGTGGGGGGGGGGCCATGAAACGTGAGGAGTGGGTTGGGTGATTTGGTTTGGTCAAGGTAGCCAGTTGCCCAGTGCTGCCCCGTTGTTTCCTTCTTTTTGGGAAGGGTTTCCTTTAAACTCAACCAACCAAGAAAAGGATTCCCTTTTTTTCCCATGGCCACTGGGCATCTGAGAACTTGGTTGGGTTTGGCAAAGTGTTGGGTTGAGGGGTTGCGATCTGCTTGGGGGGGGCTTCGCTGCTGTAAAGCGGTCTCTTAGTGGCACCAGTTTGCTCAATGGAACTGGTGCCACTACTTCGACCATCTCGCTGGAAATCTGCTGGCCCGATCAAAAGGCAGCCGTGGATCAAGCTGTCGTGAGGGCCATTTCTATTTCTTTTCAGCTTGGGGTTTCTTCCCGAGCTTGGGGCTCGCCGCTAGCAAAATGCAGGTAGAGGAAACACCTCTAGTCCAAGCCAAGAGCCTTGGAAGGACATGGAAAGGCAAAAGAAATGAGTCTTGGAAGGGACCCGAGCCATACGCAAGAAAGTTCTGGATTTGCCTGTCTCGGCTGGAGCTGGGAAGGCCAACAGAAGGGTGGACCAGTGGAATCCTTGGCTCAGTTGTCCAAAGCCAACCTTTTGACCTTTTGGTTTTCCCAGTTTGGTCCAGTTTTAGTCATGGCCCCGAAAGGCTAACCTTTTATTTCTCGGTCCTTTGGGCAAGTGAGTTAGGTGTCGCTGGCTCCAAGCCCGGCAGCTCGAAGGCTGCTTGGGGAGCTTCAGACCTGGGCCGAGAGCCGCCGAAAAAAGAAAACGCCCGCGACGGGGAAGCCGGGGGGGGGGGCGGAGCTTTCTCCAGGTGCGGAGAAACCCCCCAGCCGGGGGCTTGGGCTACCTCCATGTTGTTGCTTGTGGTATAAGGACGTCAAAAAGAAGAAGAAAAAAAACGGCTAGAAAACTTGCCGGTGCGATACGCAGGAAATGAGGGAATGAACCTTGGGATCCCCTTCAAGGAAACCACAAGGGTTTATAGGGGTCATTCCATTTCTTATTCCCTGCGTATCCAAGAAGAAGAAGAAGGCCAGAAACGAGCAGCGACCAACCCTTAGGGCAAAGGGATCTCTTGAGTTTTGTTTTTCCTCACGCGTCGGTTCACGCAATCTGGGCCAGGCTCAAACCCAATCATGTGGGTTTTGTGGGCAAAAGATGGAGCTGGGCAGGGCGCTAGCATGGCAGCAATGCTGTTTCAAAGGGCTGGTGGCATGATACATTCAGGTAACCCTCATTTGGTGGCTTGGATTGGTGCCCTGGTGCCGTAAATGGGAAACCCCTCCTGAACCACCAAACCACAAAGCCAGACCATCAATTGGAGGGAGGTTAGATACATGATACGCAACGCTGAAAAGAGTTGCCGGTATTTCAAGCCACGCGTGGTGTTTCGAGAGAAACTCGCAAGGAACACTTGTGCAGCGCAATCTGTGCGATGCCCAAGCCTGCGCCACACGACGCATCTCTGCTCAATTTCACTTAAGTTGAACTTTTGTTGTTGTTTGTTGTTTCTTTTGCAACGGCCGCCGTTGCTTCGTTCCACTCCTCTTGCCAGTGGCAGTATCCGAGAGACATCGGGCTGAGAAGGTTGGGCTTGCCAAGCCTTCAGTCGACACAAATCCAAATCCATTCATCGCAGGGGGCCCAGGCATGGCAGCCACAACACACGCCTGTCAATCGCAGCATGATGCAAGATATGCAAGTCAAAAGTGAACCATCAAGAATGACAAGGAGGTTAAAAACTCTGCTGGGGTTGCTAGCGACGTTTCACCCCAATTACAAGCTTTCAGGTGCAATATCCCGATATTTGCTCAGCGGGATTGGGACATTCCGCCGCCCCCGGCGCTCGCTCATGTTCTGCTGCAAGTGCAGTGACGATGAGCATGCCTCCGTCGAGGCCGGAAATCCTTGGTGGGTGAAGGTTTGCTTGGGAGTTCCTAGGGGCCTGAGAGGAGATTTGAACCCTGAAAGCCTTGGCTGCCAGCGCAGAAGGCTGAAGCCAGGAAGCATCATGATTCATGGCCAGGGGAGATGGGACACTTCTCGCAAGGCGGGGGGGGCGCATGTTCGCGAACGAAACCAGCAGCGCTCAGCAAAACCAAAGCGCGAAGGACCCCGGCAACAGTTTTGCTGGACACCGGCGCCACGGTGGAAATCCATCACCATCTGACACCGACCAGGTTGGGGCTAGAAGCCAGGCAGAAAGCATCATGACGCTGGAGAAAGGCTCTACACAATGGACGGCCACAACGCTGTGACACGCAATTGCATATCCAGGTCCCCCAGTAGTGCCCTTTTGGAGAGGGTGCCCCTACTGAAATAGACTACAGAAGAAAGGGTACCCTTATTCTGACCTCTCTACTGGAGGAACTAGTTCAATTTGGCCATGGCAGTGAAAGTCGTCAAAAGATGATTTGTGACACGGAAACCTTCGCGGAAAATCCCCCAACCTATATCGCCACGCCGGGTTGCTTTTCTCGGCTAGGCTGGCGCCTTCTCAGTGGATCTGCCTTCCAGGGCGCTGGGGCACATGGATTTCCTGGATTCGCGGGGCGCCTTTGGCGTGTTGGTGGGGAGGTTGTTTAATTATCCCCAACAGCTGAAAGCTCTGGGGTCTCAGCCCAGATAGGCTCCGGGGTGGTCCGGGGCGGCCCTGAGGCCAGGGTAGGGTTCTGGGAGGGTTCGACGAGGGCTGCGGGGTGGTGCGAGCACTAAAAGAGCACTGCATGCTGTTGGGGATGTCACCTGAGCTTATTTTTTGTGGGTGTCGAAGGGTGCCCTTTTCGGTTGGCTGAAGGGGAAACCACGCGGAAAGCCGAAATCTGTGGGGTGCTATGAGGCGGAAAACCGTTGGTGGCCACTGTGGAAGTGGCCACCAAAGATTCCCAGCGGTGTCAAATGCTATTCACTTCTAGTCTCAGCGATGCACAAACAGATGAGTCCAGTGCAGTTTCACCTTTGGATCCTACAAAGAGTGGCAATTCTGTAACCTCCCTGCCTTCATGAGAAAGGGATGTGGTGGGTGGTGTGGGGGAAAGTTGGCTGGAAGATTCGGGCCAGTGGCCGAATAGTTTGCTGCCTAGGTGTTCAGCACCTGTCATGCATAGGACCAGGCTCCTGTGGCCCAAGCACGCCGGCCCTTGGATTCATAGGCAGTGGCGGACCACCCAGCTTGAGATGAACACATCAGAAACCTTGGCTCCAGGAACTTGAGGATTTCAGTTGGGGGTTTCTCAAAAGTCCCGCTGGTGTCTTTTTTTAAATATATATATATATATTGCTGACCAGTCGGGCTATCTCTTGTTCAGAGCCCGCGACTTTTGGCACTGAGGCGCCATGGTGCTGGATACTTTCAAGGGCACTTTGAGGGAGTTCAACCAGGAATTCCCCAGCAGCGCCCTCAAGAGATACGACCTTGTCACCCACGTGAACGGCACAAGCTGGAGCAGAAAGGCAATGGAGGAGGCATGCCTGATGATCGTGTTTTCTGCGCCTAGCCTTTGCCGTTGCCTGGTGCAACAGCGCGTTTGTGCCATCCAAGAAGTTATATATTTGGACGATGCAAGTCAACACGCGCATCGTTTTCGCAGCTGAATCAACAGTGGCCCCCAAATGTATATCCAAGTGTGGGTGTCCTCTTTGTATGTCAAGGTTTCCAGGGCCCAGGCAAGTCTCGAGTCTTGCGCAGGTGGCGACCTTGGCTTTGAGAATCACTCGGCCGAGACTGGTGCAGGTGCTGCTGCAACGGCTGCCCCTGGAACGTCTGGGGATCACCTTCGACTTCTGCCAGTCCTCCCTGGGGATGCCTGGCGCAATGGGCAAGGTCCAGTTGTGCCTTTTTCCGGGCTCCTTCAAAGATACATGGCTGTAGCTCAAAAAAGTGGTACCAAAATGGCTCCTTGGTAAATGGAACCAACGACTAAAAGCCGCGTAACCCCAGCTCTCTAATTTTGAGCCATACCCACATGTTGCAACCAATTTGAAACATGGGAGTTTTTCTCACGAAAATCAAGGGACGCCACCATTTACAAGGCAATGTTCAGGTGTATAATGTAAGGATCCCTGTTTTACCCTTTTCTGGGGGAGGGTTCCCCTACTAAAATAGACTACAGAAAATAAATCGGGCACCCTTATTCTAATCTCTCTACGGGCGGACCTAGGCATAAATCCCCGTTCTGAATCCTTAGCCAACCAGTTTCTTGGTGGTCAAAATCGACGCGTTTCGAGCCGACTCCCTGTTTTTTCAGGGAGTCGGAAGACTTCACGATCAGCCCCGCCTTAGCTGTGTAATTCGAGCGGGGTGGTCACCCCTTGTTTCTTTTCACCGTGTGGTCGTGCTGTGTATTTTCTGCCTCTTGTGCGGGGAGGGGGGGGGACAGGCGGACATACTTCACGAGAATGTTCCTGGGAAAGAATCTGAAGTTCGGCACTGAACTTCAGTGATTTAGCATGCAAGGCGACCAAAGCCTGACTTTGCGTACAGCCCAGGAAAAGGTTGATAGCATGGCGTTGAGCAACTACTTCCTGGGATGCTTCTGCGATGGCATCAGCAGTTGGAAGCACACCAGTGGCAGTCACCATGAACATCCTGAATCACCAATTACACCTGCCTATTGTAGGGCACCTGGCAGTTGGCAAGGTCCAATTTTTCAGGGACCCCAAAGGGAAGGAGATCGCTCACTGTGCAGTTCCCACAAATTTTCAGGCAAGCAACAAGGGGATCGATCGCCCACTCAGTTCCCTGGGTTCAGACAAGCCGTTGTCAGTGTAGCCTTTCGCCTTCCGAGGATCCTCCTGCGAGGCGTGCAGGAGGGTCCCGTGGCCCGCTGGAACCAGGAGAATCCGGACGCCCTGGTGATGCTACTCGGTTGGGTCCCCTAAAATGATGCAAACCCTCGCGGTGGAAACAGGAGGCCCCTTCTAAAGAAGCGTCAAGTAAACAGGATAAGCTAACCCCCACTTATGAACGACCTTTCGTTGTAGATCGTTTGCTTCGGTTTCCCTCGACCCTTGACCCACGTTCCCTTCACCACAAGGCATGTGTGTGCGGCAGCTCTTGCGGATTCCACCGCTGCTCAATCTTTGACGTTTGAGAGGCACGCAGGCATACCACACGACAACCTGTTCAAAGGCAGAGGGTGTTGCCCATCCATGTGTGCGGATGATCCATGGCTCCGTTTCTTTCCTCAGCTCTGCCCTGGCAAGCCGTTTCCGTGTGTGGCCTTGCATTGTGGTGCATGTGCGCCCATTAAACGATGAAGCGGTGGCACCGCACATTCTCCGTGGAAGAGCGGTTCTTGCACGGCGTGCCGCATGTGCCAGTGACAGCGCAAACTAAGCGTAGGCATGCCAGGGTGTTCCATACATGGTTGACCATGTCTAACGCTTCGGGGGGACTCTCCAAAATGAAAACTTCCCCTAAGAAAAGACACCCATATTGTTGTGGACCCTGCCACATTGAACCAACAGGTCCGAGGCATGCATTGCAATGGGACAGTTTGAACTTGGCTTGAGAGTGCATGGTCAGTTGCCCAAAGCCGAGAATCTAATCGTTCGGATATTTTCTGGTTTTTTCGGACAAGCCTGAAAATCCATTTTTGGAAAAAGTCCCAAAAGGTTCGTACCCTACAGTTCGGTTTTGCCGTCTCTATCGTCTTGGCCACGGGTTCTTTATTGAGGGTGTCCTTTTGGGGGTTGGTTTAAAGAGCATTGGAAACGACTCAGTTAATTAATGAATTTCTTGTTGACATTTTGACACCCATATCCACACGCTTTGTCATTTCAATGGCTTTGGCTTTGGGTGAATCGCAGTTTGCTCGTGCTTTGTGTCGATGTTACTAGAACGCGGTTGGATCACGGAGCTTTGCATACCGCCTCGTCCTGACAAGCATCACACGCGCCAACAAGCTTGAAAGCAGGCATCGGTTTTCGATCAGCATTCACAGCAACAAGCCACTGTATGTGATGTCCCAATTTGTTTCAACCATCCGATGCTTTGTCAGATGCATTTAACCATGCGGAGGCTTGCCTTTTTTTTGCAAAACAAGTGTCACTTGTTGGCTGTTTTTAGAACAGCCCTCCACGGATCAAGCAAAACTGCTCTACAGACTTGGTGGTTCCCGGCCATCTCCTTAGCTTTTTGGCCTTTTAGTGTTTAGTGGGGGGTTCCATTTGACCCACTAAAAGTTAGTCACTTTTTGCAGGGGATCTGAGGGCAACCCAGCAGAAACAAGGAAAAGGAGGTCCGTCCGTTGCCACCGCACGCTGGGACTTGCATCAAGGCCCGGGCACCGGGTGGTGGCAGTGGACGGTGGGGAGTTGCTGGGCCCAGAGATGGTGCAGAGGCTGCTGGGCGAAGCTGCGAATTGGCTGGGGGCCTGGGGAGGGAGGGGAGGGGGAGGGAGCCCAAATAAGCCCTTATCAAGGTCCTGGGACCCCATATGGCCGTTTTTTTAGGTCATACGCCTTTGACCGAAAACAAACGGCCATACGGATTTTGTACGGCTTTTTTTCAACAACATGTCGAAAAAATATGGGTTTCATACGGGTGATTTACGCAAATGACAAAAAATCATGGCCATACGGGCCAAATACGGGAGTTTGACCGAAAAAAAACAGCCATACGGTGTGCCAGGCCCCTAGTAAGGCCTTATCTGGGGCTTACTGGGGCTTCCTCCCCCCCCCTCTAGCTAGGTAGTGCCCTTTTACCTTTTTTTGGGGGAGGGTTCGGGACCCTACTAAAATTGACTACAGAAAAAGTTGGTACCCTTATTCTAAGCTCGCTACTGGAGGACCTACCCCAGTCTCCGGACTTGTCTTCTTTTTAAGAAGGCCCCTGTAGTGGTCAACAACTGTCTGGACTTTTCCTGGCCACTCCAGTCGCAAAGTTTCAACGGAGACCGAAAGGACTATTGGAGTAACCTCAGGGCGTTGACTTTTCAGTCCCAGTCCCTTGCAAACAGCTGAAGGGGTGGAGGCCTTCAGCTTGAGAGTTGGGCCGGGCCAAAGTTGTTCACGCTCTAACCACACGATTTTTTCTCAAGGGTATCCAGCTTATGGATTGTGGTTTCGCTCTTCAGCCATAGGTGTCCTTTTTGGTTGTTTCGGTCGAAAAACAGATGGCGATTCCGGGTTTACCTGGTGGTTTCATCATCTACCAGGGAAACCCATCTATTTGCCCAAAAGGACACCTATGTCTTCAGCGGTTTCCTCCGATTTGTGCCCATAGCAAAAATCGTTTGCGCGTCAGGCTCCAAGAGGAGGGCGACCTGATCCTCACAGTACTTCAATACGACCTGCCCCCGTAGGCACGGCGGATTGGAGATATGGCCGTGGTTGTCAAAGCCATGGAAACCCCTGGTGAACATCAAAATAGGTGGTACATGGGTGTTCATCCGCCCCAAAATGGAGGCATATGTTATGACCCATGGCCATATGGAGGTTCGTTCAATCGGGTGTGCCGGAGCACGGGGCGGGCAAAACGGGGGGCCAAAGCGCCCTGCCGCAAAGTAATGGAATACGTGGTCAGCATGTCAGCTGCAGGTCTGAAAATCCTTCTCGAACTTGTCATTTAAGATGCTGAGCCTTTAACTGGGAGCACGAAGACTTCTCAAAGCGTCACATGTGCAGGTGTGCTCTTGTACAATTGCTTACAAACGTGAATACGGCAGCTGCCACTGTCACTCCATGATGTTCTAGGCAGTTTCCAAGCAGTGCCGGGCCGGTGGCCCCGCCACACTCGCGGAGAAAATGGCATTCGGCACCTTGTTTTGCTGTTGGCTGTGCTTTTTGCCGCCCGCTATTGCCAGCTGCATACACGTTTGCAGTGCAGACCTCGTCCAACTTGCACTTCCCGGTCAGGGGGGCGGAGTCAATCCTCATGTACCGTTTGGGCGGACAGGCTTGCGCTCGGAGCGTTCCACGCGAAGAGGGCCACACCACAAAGCAGATCAGCATAGAGCAGGCTATGGAAATGACCCGGCGTTTTTTTTTCCTCCAGGTGTTGCAGACTAGCATGGAAGAACCACCCTGAATCGGGCGTGGCAGTTGAGAAGTAAGTTGAGCACTACCTCAATCTTATGCGCGGACTATGGACAAGCATCTGTCTATGCTCGACCATAGGGTTGTGCCGACCATCCTGTCGAGCTTTTCAGCACGCTGCAACATGTACAGGTCCGGGGGTCCGGGCCAAATGGTTCAAAGCAGAGGTGCAGTCCCAACGACCTGCAGCCTATCCCTGGGTGTGCCAGGGTCAAACAGCATATGAGGTTTGGTGTCTGTGGTATAGTAGGTTTGGAGAGGAACATGGGGGGAATCACTCAGCTTGCCACACAAACCAGGAAACCAGAGGAGACATACAGCACAATCAAGGCATTTTAAGACAGTTCTGACAATGGCACACACAACCTTGCACGTTCCCTCCCAGGCCACATGAGAGCTTCTTGCGCAGGCAAGAGGCTCAGTGCCTCGTTCGAGCTTGTCTGAGCATGTGAGTGCTGTAGGTGAAACGGTGGGCCCCTTCACCTGTTTGAAGAACATGGAGGAGCATGATTGTGGTTTGGGTGTGCTCTAGATGTGGACAATGCAAATTGAGCAGTCCCCAAGATGACTGATGCAACTCTTCAGCAGGGTTTGTTCACTTCCTGTACTCTTCCTTTTGGGAACACCGTTCTAGTGCTAAATGGACTTTTAGTGGGCCATCCACTCAGCAAGTGAGTGTAGGTGTCACACCAGAGGCGTGGAGTGTCACACCTGCCCGCAGCTCCGTTTCCGAGCCCCAAGTCGCCCTTCGGACGCCTCCGACCGAGCTCGCCATGTTCTGCGCGTGCTGCGAAGCTCCGGTGGACGCCGCGGCCGTGGAGGTGGATGCCCAGCCATCTCTGGTGGAGAAAGGACCGCTGCTTCGAGGTCACACCAGGGCAACGGGCAACCTCCATGGTGTCCAATGTGTGCTTTGAGTTGTTTTGGTAGAAAATTAGATGGCGATTCCTGGTTTACCTGGTGGTTACGATGTCACAGGTCACTGACTCACGCCTGCGACTCAGATTTGGCTTGACAAGGGCAACTGCCTGTCGCGAGAGAGCTTCCGGGCCTTCAGACTGTTCTGCTTGGCCACTTGTCCACTCCCTATATATGGTACCGTGCCCCGCCCCCCCTGATGGTAGAGGTCTCCCAAGGACCCCCCACCCCCCGGGCCCAAGACCCCGAGCCCTCGGATCCTGGCACCTACGGTCCCACCCACCCCGACCCCCGAAAAAAGTCGCACCCCGACACCCCGGCACCCCCACCCCCAGGACAAGCCAACCCGCAACCAACCATAAACCAACCCTAAACTAACCCTAAACCAAATCCTAAACCGTAAACCTCTAAACCTAAACTAACCCTAAACCAACCCTAAATCAACATAAACCAACCCTAAACCAGCCCCAAATACACCCTAAACCAAACCCAAAACATTAACCCTAAATAAATTAATTCTAAATCAACATAAACCAACCCTAAGCTGACCCTACATACACCCTAAACCAAACCCTAAAACATAAACCCTAAACCTAAACCAACCCTAAACCAATCCTAAATCAACATAAACCAACCCTAAACTAACCCTAAACCAACCATAAATATACTCTAAATTCACCCTAAACCAATTCTAAACCAACCCTAAAGCAACCCCAAACCACCACAACCCAACCACAGGACCACAACCACAGGGTGGGGCGGGAGTACTTGTCTGACCCATATAGAATTATTTCTGGAGTTTGTGGGAAAACTTTACCCCATTAAAAAATACATATATAAAAATATATATAACCCTCCGACCATAACGACCTGCCCCCATCCCCACGCCTGTCCAGGATACCGCAGCGAGGTGGTGACTGCCACGGTGACCTCGGTGCCTGAGAAGGCCAAGGGGAACTTCAAGGCGGAGGTCATGCTGAAGACGCTCGGGTAAAATCTGCTTGCGCTCGGTTTTCTTGGTGTTTTGGACATCCTTTCACCAATTCCATGCCTGTGGGAGGGAAGGTAATGGAACTTTCGCAGTAAACAACTAGGTCCCCCAGATACGTGTCCTTTTTTACCTCAACTTTTTGGTTGGGAGGGTTCACCTACTATAGACTACAGAACAAAGTTGGTACTTGGTACCAACTTCTTCTATCCTCTTTTCCTGGAGGCGATTCCATGTGGGAGGGAGGGTAGAGCCCTCTGAGGGTCTCTGAGTAAAAAGGGCCTCATTGGCATCTCGATGCGAGTTTGAAATATTGAAGGGGAGTCCGCACTCGATGTCAATGGCAATGGGCTCCAGGCCTGCCTACGCGAGGGACCAAGCAAACGAGCGAAGCTTCGCCTGCGGGAAGTCATGTTCTACGCTCCGGGGTGAAAGCAATTCTGTTCATGTCTTGTCCACGGCGATTTGTGAAGATGAACCGCGCAAAGTCTGCCGCGTCGAACTTTTCTTGTGCGAATTTTTGTTTTTCTCGGAAGGTGAGCAACGCTTGCCGGGTGTCGCTCTGGCTTCAAGTCCGAGCAAGGCAGGTTCAGGTTGGCTTTCAGGGCAAGCAATGCAGCCAAGTCTCATCTTGTGGGGCCTATAGCAGCCCCACCCCCCGCCCGCGTCCGTCGTGGGGGCTCTCAGGAAGGGCATGGGTCTCGGCCTTGAGCTGGACGTGGTGGACCCTAAAGGCGCGCAGGGCCGGGCCGTCGGCCGGGACCAAGGTGGCAGGTTTTGAATGGCCTGGGGTTCATGCGCCAAAGATATTGCCGCGCAGTGCAACGAGCAGAACAAATGCTTGCGTGTTTCTGCATTTGTGTGCGGCTTGGACTTACTGCTGATTTGAGCTTGATATGTTGCATCATTTGCTATGGCCTCTTCGAGGGCCGGCATGGTCATGTTCATTTGGATACGGGGGCAAGTTAGGCACATGTCGGCACTTACGGGCACCAACGTTGAGCTGGCTATGCGCATGCATACTGGCATGGGAAGCCACAAGCACCGGGGTTGCTTCATGTCATTGACGGAGCTTTGCTGGGAATTGATGGGGGCCCAATGACCACCACTCGCACCCGGCGGGCATCGACCTGTCAAATTGCCATGCTGTTCAAACTGCTTAAGGTTTCCAGGATGATCCAAGGGCTCCAAGGGCTCCAAGGGCTCTGCAAACACCAGTTCCCTGTCGATAGGCGTTGTTCTCTCACCCACCCTTCCGGATTCCGGGAAACGCAAATAGTTTTTTGCGGCATGTGCTACATGGCACGCCGGAGGGCCAACGATTGTGGAAGTTGGAACGGATGGCCTCATCGCAGAGTTCAACGCTGCCTCCCGCCACCTCGCGTTGCAAAAGTTCGACGCTTGCCGAGAGGGCCACTGCGAGGGCTCATGCAACTGTCCCACTGGGTGCGGGTCAGGGGCTCCCTGAAATTGACAATGCTTCAAGCTTGGAAGCCCCCTTGCATGGTTGTTGGGAAACATTTTACTTTTTTTTGGCTTATTGTGGCTGAGTGGTTCAGATCCAACCACTTAACTGCTATTTTTCTTCACTTTTTGCTCCCCTTCCAACGTCAACCAAGCTTGTCTACAGAACCTGTGCGGTCTGAGCCATGCTTTGGCCCTTTGGGGGATGTGGTGATTTCGTGGGGCTTTTCCTCTACGGAGTCACGCCCAAAGCCTGACTAGCATGTCCGGTGGCCGTAGTTTTTGTGGGGCACCTGCCTCCAAACGAGCCTGCAGCCTGAACGGGTGAGCGGGTTAGCCTTGACCCGTTGAACAATTGCTTTCTCCAGAACTCCCTCAAAGCAGCGATTTTTCAACCTGCCACCCCAAAGCAATTCGGAACTTTTGAGGGAGGTTGTTGGTTTCATTCACTCAGTCTTGGTATCAGGGTCAATGGTGATGAATACCGAGACGAGATACAGATACTGGTGTGTTTAATTGTTGACATCCCCGGCGGCACTGTCTCCGAGGTGTCCTCTTGCTTTTGGGATGAGACCATGCTGAGGACCGCATCACTGGCGTCAACCAGGAGAAAGGCGACATGAGCCACGTGTACAAGACCTTGAACAACGCCATTGAAAGTCAGGAGCCTTGACTGGTGTTGACCTCAACTGGGCCGCAAATTGAAAGAATAGGCCAGGCAGATGTACGTTGTACTACTTGAGTCGCAGAGAATTGGGATGATGATGACTTTCGGATCATGAAATCAGCCGAAACCTACCCACCAACCTGATCCAAAAAGGGCACCTACTTCTGGCTAATCAGTTTTGCGTGGCTTGCAGCAAGAACAGCCACAACCATTCCGAAATAGATATGGCAGTGGGTCAAAACCAAGGGTACCATGTTGGGGTAGTTGAATTC